ATGTATTAACAACAACACTGCTTCAACGCAACCAGAAGCGTGATAATCAACAAGTGTGACGAGAGCACAAGAGTCATGCAGTGCTCCCGGCTAGAACATCCTATAGAGGAGTACCTACAAACAGAGTCCTCCGTTTGCTAACTTAGGAGCGTCCTTATTCTTAGGCAAATTCGAAAAATCATTGTTTCGCGTAATCAGTAGAGATAAATATATACACCAATATGCAGACAGGAATACAGACAGATGCATAGATGATTATATAGACAAATATATAGATTAATATATAGATGGTTATATGGACGAATATATGGATTAATATATAAGTGATAATAAAGGCTAATATATAGATTTATATATAGATAAATGCATGAATTAATATATAGATAATCACTTCATCACTTTGATAGGTATACACGTGTATATAGATGAAGGTATGAGTGTTATTAAGCTAACATACGGTAGAGTGAACCAGTCACAGCCGCTACCGTTACTGATATATGAGGAGGAGCTTATTCCTTGTACTGCACGAGTTGCAACACAGGAAGCAGGAAGAATGACCGACGTCGATCCTTACAGCAATCTGTCCGATGTAGAAGAAGAGATAAGTCTTCGTCTCGTACGTACCGAAGCTGGCAAAGTCCTTACCTACCAGCGATACACTAACCACAAACGTGGGTGTAGGGTGTCCCTGAGCTCACCAACGACGCACATCCAATTCGGATCATACTTCCCATCGAAGAATGCCTTGATGTGCTTCGCCATTTCGCTCTCAGTCTTGTACTTTTGAATAGCAATCGAGGCTTGTGTCACCTTGAAATGACAGTTGATCGATAGCGACTTGCATATTCTTCTGTTACGGCATCAGTCCTCATTTCGCAGTTCTCGTCCATATCGGAAACGATGTTCTTTCCCTCAGGCATGGTTTAAGAATTCAGAAGCGCTGCGGAGGAAATAACGAACAATAAGCAACACGGTTTATAGTCCTGAGCTTGAGGTCCACGACGGACCTCTCGAACGAGCTTTTTCCTGCCGCATTTGCACTACGAAAGCTTCCGGTTTCGCGTACCGTGTCCATCGCGGACTGCTTCTGTTGGGATACCCGACTCGCAGGGTTACGTCAAGCACATGCACGCAAGATCCTTTACAAAGAACAACAGGGCCACTCGCGGCCTCGAGTGAGAAGTCTGGGTCCCAAGAGCTAAAAGAAAGCACTAGTTGATCGGGAAAATACTATCATACTTGGATACGATTCGCGAGCCGATGAAAATCACTGAAGTGGGCCTCGGCGTGCTGGCGACGATCGCATACCATCTTTCGTTCACATTCAACAGCAAGTGTCGGAGTCTTCACCAAGTTGAAGATGTTATCGCCTATCATGCTTTATTACTATTAGATTCCTCTTCGCGAAGAGGAAGATCGTATCAGCCTGATACTACCGTACCACTACATCTACATGTATCATCATCATAGTTCATCATACTATCGTACCAGCTCACTGAGGAGCAAACATTTTCTCCCCGAATCAATGAAAGCTTATGGTCATTCTAAGGTCGTCAGAACTGCCGACCAAATACGACGTACGCGTTTCGAGAGCGCCATAACGCTAGTGGGAAGGTAACTCAACAGCCTCGTCAGATTCTCAGCTCGGGTGCATCATTTTACCATTTCAATGAATGCACAACTAATAGCTGTTAAGTGAGTACTGCACTGAAATAAAGTGCTAGTTAGATTCGACAAGATGACGCGAGAATAGGTTATAGTAGTGGGCAGGTGTACGACTATTGTAAAATAAAACCCAGAAAGGGTTTTGGTAAGACCAGTGGAGGATGCCGGTTGCCGCCTGATGAACATTCCTAAGACTCACGCTGATAGTAATGGAATACAGTAACAGTAGTCGACAAATTCGATCTTTCGTACGCGTTATAGCAATAGCTTCGCCCAGAAGTGAACCTGGGTCTCCAGCATGACACCGAACAACGTACCACCACACCACGTTCGACAATTTTTCGGTCATTCAGTAACCCATCCGGAAAATGTAATGAACGAAGCGGTCGCTCAACTGATTGCCCAGAAAACAAAACTGAGGAACATGAAACGCTTCGCTCCGCCAAAATTTTGGTTTGTCGTGGAATAGCGGAAGCCAGAGTCGATCAAGGAGTAAATGTCGATTTCTCATCCAGGTCCTACTACGTTACGATAACACAGTGTTATGGTATTCGTTCAAATAGGATATTATGGGGACAGCGTGCGTGTCGGGATTAGGTAGTAGCTGGTCGGCGCCTTTATTGGATAGCTATAGAGCATAAGGGAACGATGGGACAGTTGGACGTAGCATGGCTTCCCCTCACGTATCAATCTTCGAGCCTCTCATACTCCCGGCAGCAGACTCAGAGGAATGGGGCCCTCATCAAATTGGTGGTTCAACCTCCGTCAGTGGAATCCCTGGTAGGAAGGGGTATCTTGTGGTTGAGCGGGGAAGATACAGAATAGGCCCACCTCTGACCCTCAGGTGATCTCATCTCTCTGGTCGATGGTTACCGCAATGTTCGAGTATGTGACTTTTCC